GGTATTTATGTGGACATGAGGACAGGTAAACTGTTGGTTAAGTAGGTGGACATGAGGACAGGGAAACTTGTTGATTAAGTAGGTGGACATGAGGACTGGGAAACTGTCGGTTAGGTAGGTGGACATGGGGACAGGGAAACTTTGTTGGTTATATAGGTGGACATAAGGACGGAGAAACTGTCGGGTAAGGAGGTGGACATGAGGACAGGGAACCTGTTGGGTAAGGACGTGGACATGGGGACAGGGAAACTATCAGTTAAGTAGGTGGACATGGGGACATGGGACAGGAAACTGTGGGGTTAAGTAGGTGGACATGGGACAGGGAAGCTGTTGGTTAAGGAGGTGGGTCAGGTTAGAGGTGGAACAGGGGAAAACTGTTGGTTAAGGAGGTGGAAATGTGGAACAGGGGGGAAACTGTCGGTTAAGTAGGTGGACATGGGGACAGGGGAAACTGTTCGGTTAGAAGTAAGGGACAGGTGGACATAAGAGGACAGGGAAACTGTTGGTTAGGTAGGTGGTAGGTGGAACTGTCGGTTGGGGAGGTGGACATGGGGACAGGGAAACTGTTGGTTAATAGGTGGACATAAGGTGGAGAGGACAGGTGACGTAGGGGACAGGAGAAACTGTCATGGGGACAGGAAACTGTTGGGTTGTGGACATAAGGTAGGTGGACATGGACAGGGACAGTTGGTTAAAGGTGGTCATGGAGAAATTAAGTTGGTGGACATGGTGGACATGAGGACAGGGGAAACTGTTGGTTAAGTAGGTGGACATTAGGACAGGGAAACTGTCGGTTGGGTAAGGTGGACATGGGGTAGGGGAACATAAGGTGGACATGAGGACGGGAAACTGTCGGGTTAAGGTGGACATGAGGACAGGGAACATGGGTGGACATGGGGACAGTGAAACTGTCAGTTAAGTAGGTGGACATGGGGACAGGGAAACTGTCGGTTAAGTAGGTTGACATGGGGACAGGGAAACTGTTGGTTAGGAGGTGGACATGGGGACAGGGAAACTGTTGGTTATGTAGGTGGACATGGGGACAGGGAAACTGTTGGTTAAGTAGGTGGACATGGGGACATGGAAACTGTTGGTTAGGTAGGTGGACATGGGGACAGGGAAACTGTTGGTTAAGTAGGTGGACATAAGGAGGTGGACATGAGGACAGGGGAAACTGTTGGTTAAGGTGGACATAAGGACGGTGGAAACGGTCGGTTAAGGAGGTGGACATGGGGACAGGGAAACTGTGGTTAAGTGGACATGGCGGACGGAGAAAGTGGACATGGGGACAGGAAACTGTTGTTGGACATTAAGGAGGTGGACATGGGGACAGGGAAACTGTCGGGTAAGTAGGTGGACATGAGGACAGGGAAGCTGTCGGTTAAGTTGGTGGACATGAGGACAGGGAAACTGTTTGTTAAGTTAGTTGATATGGGGACAGGGAAACTGTCGGGTAAGGAGGTGGACATGAGGACAGGGAAACTGTTTGTTAAGTTGGTGGTCATGGAGAAAGGAAAACTGTTGGTTAAGTAGGTGGACATGGGGACAGGGAAACTGTTGGTTAGGTAGGTGGACATGAGGACAGGGAGACTGTCGGTTAGGTAGATGGAAGAGGTCGGGTTAGGAGGTGGACATGAGGACAGGGAGACTGTCGGTTAGGTAGATGGAAACGGTCGGGTAAGAAGGTGGACATGAGGACAGGGAAACTGTTGGGTAAGGACGTGGACTTGGGGACAGTGAAACTATCAGTTAAGTAGGTGGACATAAGGGCAGGGAAACTGTCGGGTTATAGGTTGACATGGGGACAGGGAAACTGTCGGGTTATAGGTTGACATGGGGGCAGGGAAACTGTCGGGTAAGGAGGTGGACATGAGGACAGGGAAACTGTCGGTTAAGTAGGTGGACATGAGGTGGAAACATGAGGACAGGGAAACTGTGTGTCGGGTAAGGAGGTGGACATGGGGACAGGGAAACTGTTGGTTAAGGAGGTGGACATGGGGACAGGGAAACTGTTGGTTAAGGGGTTGGACATGGGGACAGGGAAACTGTCGGTTAAGTAGGTTGACATGGGGACAGGAAACTGTCGGTTAAGTAGGTTGACATGGGGACAGGGAAACTGTCGGTTAAGGGATTGGACATAAGGACAGGGAAACTGTCGGTTAAGTAGGTGGACATGGGGACAGGAACTGTCGGTTAAGTAGGTTGACATGGGGACAGCGAAACTGTTGGTTAAGGGGTGGGACATGGGGACAGAGAAACTGTTGGTTAAGGGGTGGGACATGGGGACAGAGAAACTGTTGGGTAAGTAGGTTGACATGGGGACAGGGGAACTGTGGGTTAAGTAGGTGAACATGGGGACAGGGAAACTGTCGGGTAAGTAAGTGGACATAAGGACAGGAAAACTGTTGGTTAACGTGGTGGGCATAAGGACAGGAAACTGTGGGAGAATTAGTGTGTCATGAGGACAGCGAAACTGTCAAACGAACTGGCAAGAAGATGGGTGAACAAGCAAACCACCGTATAGGGGATGGCCAGGGTAACAGATGATCTGCCTCAGAGACCAAGTTAAATTGTTGTTGTTGTTGTTGTTGTTGTTGTTGTTGTTGTTGTTGTTGTTGTTGTTTCGATCTGAGCATTTGGGATACGATGACATGTGTCAACCAAGTCAGCGAGCCTGATCATCCGATCCCGTTAGTCGCCTTTTACGACAAGCATGAATTGCTGAAGATCAATTCTAAGGTAGGAGATCCATGCTCGTGCCTACTTATATAGCCTATATATCTTCTAAAAAGTTCGGGCGGTGGGGTAGCCTAGTGGTTAAAGCGTTCGCTCGTCACGCCGAAAGGCCCGGGTTCGAATCCCCACATGGGCACAATGTGTGAAGCCCATTTCTGGTGTCCCCGCCGTGATATTGCTGGAAGATTGCTAAAAGCGGCGTAAAACCATACTCAGTCAGTCAGTCTAAAAAGTTCCCTAGTATGCTGTTTCAGGCATGTTTGTTACACAGATGATATATTTGGTCTAACAGGGTTTTTTCAATATGATTTATTTCAAAATATCAACCCAGGGAAAAATCAATCTCGAATATCTGCCTACATGTGTGTAAAATGGAAAATAGCGACAAAGATTTATCGATCACTTAAAACCATCAGTAATGACACCCAGGTATTCGGAAAAGGCGTAAGCACGCCCTCCACTACAGGTTTATGAATTAAAATATGTAATATCTTGTTGAGGAAAGTTGCATTTGTTTGAAGGAAGGATTGCATGTTGTTGTGTGCCGCAATGTTAACGTTCTGCATCGACGGAGGCTGGAGCGGGCAATCCATTAAAGGAATATGTATAAGTTTCAAAGTCCCGAAAATGCTAAAAGGAGAGACTTTTGTAGGATTTCGACAGTGTAATAGGTTTGAATGGTTTAGCCTCCCTGTGAGGACACCCCGTTTGTATTAGTGAACCACTACTATTACTGATGTTACCAGCTGGTTGTATCCTGCCTCCACCCATCAAGCTCACATTTCAGTTATTCACATGAAAATAACCTGAACCATTCGCCATTTTGTACTGCGTCAGGTTTTCAGTCATATGGAAATTTTCTCATGGTAAATACTCTTTGGAGAAAGAGAATTCTCGTGTGTGTATCAAAATTTGTGATATGCGTTTGACACGTTTGACAAAGTTTTCAAAGAGCGTCATTCGACTCTTACTAAAAAGTGTTTTGATCAAGATTACAACGTTGACATTCAAGTTCCCATGAACTTGGAATACATTGGAACTTTGGAAGACATTTCCATTGATGCATCCGAGACAAAATCGCTGTCCGATGCAATTACCTATTTTCACTGCCCCATGCTTCCCTCCGATCAAAATTCAGGTGAACAACTGACTTGTCATTGCATGTGTTTGTGACGGATGACACCGGTGGGGCAGGATACGCTCACATTCTTAAAACCGTACAGTTGGGATCTCACAATCGATTTGGCTAGAGATACCTTGTCGTTCATTTCTGTTTTGTAGTCCCTTGCTTGGGCTCGAAAGACGAGGTCACAGCCTGGGAGAAACCGAGACCACCACAGACAGCATAGAGAACGATTAGTATTTCGCCTCTTCCCGTTGGTAACTTTCTCCCAGACTGCATACAGTCCCCACTGGGTACCCACTGACTACGTGAGAGGCATTTGCCCACGCCTCATCTAGGAAAACAGGCTCACATCCTTCTTGTTTCTACTTAATGATTCGAAGATAATGATTTCGGAGACTAACGATGCCAGATTGTAACACAGATCTTTTTTCACTACTTATAATTTTGTATTGCATCCAACTGTATACAAAAGCTGTCATCCTGATTTTGTAACAATTCAATCATCTTCAGTTTCAAGATATTTCTTCAAGACTCTCACTGACATGTACTTGTTTTCATAATGCAGTTTAACAATTGCACGATTGCCTTGATTTTTCAGAAAACTGTTCAAGTTATCAACCCAACATGGTTTTGATCTGCCCCTCGCCAGCGTGTTAGGAGACAAACGAAAGGATTTAGAAGGTTGTTTCAAGTATTTATTAATGACAAAAATGGCAGTTTTCCTCCCTTTGCTTCACATTAAAAGAAATCATACGCCTTAAAAATCAACTACTTCACTTCAGCTGAGTTGAGCATCTTGTCTGTCAACATCGACACATACCATGAGTCATGTGTAGTGTTTGTTTCCCAGCTGTTCCTTCTACGGTTGTGCTCCCCTCCGTTACAGATGTCAGCTTGTACACTTACCATGGTAGTTTCTTAAGCAACTTTTCTCAGGGGGTGGGTATAAAAAAATCAAACAGGAGATATTGTATAGTACAGGATAATATCCATTGCCAGGTACCCCATTGACATTTAATAGCCGATGTGACTAAAAACCTTAACTCACTCACATTTAATAGACTTCCCAATTTTGAATTATTTTGCAATTTATCGTTGTCATTGGTGACAAACGGACTTTAAGGCATCAGTTTCTGGATCCATTAAGATATACGCTCCTGACCTGAGCAATACTGGTCCAAGTTATCCTGCTCTCAAACAGCTGTGGCCTCAAGCACACACCCTGCATCAGACCGCGACGTCATCCTAGCGAGCCAAACAACTACATTGTGTAACAAGGAAGTTGACCCAGTATGTATTACATAGCGACTTGATGACTACAATAGAGGGCCGCCATAACCGGTATCCCCTGCACCGTCTTGGCTAGACCTACCCGGTCCCGTTCAGAGACCAAGATAAAGACAAGATAAGCGAGACACATTGTTTCCAACTCAAGCCCCAATTGAGGTAAGTCGTTTATACAGTAGCAGATAATCAGAACACACTTGACCATCCGGGTGTAGATGAACACAGAAAACATCATTTGTGATGAGAAAAAGTATATCCATTATTGAAACATATGTTCTGTCGGGTAGGTTGTCAGCCTGTTTCTGGAACTTATTTGGGAGATTGAATGGGGTGTATCTTATGATATGAGAGAACACGTTTCGATAGTTATCGCATCTTTCCCAGGCTTCCAACAAACTGCGACTTAGTCCTGCATGTTGTTGACCCGAATATCCATCGAACCGTCACACAAACGTTACATCAGTCTGTTTGCCCTTTCAAGGTGATTTCGTGATTTTGTTTTGTGCGTTTCCCGTTTCTCAAGATTTTCGAGTTGTCGTATAAAGACTCAAAGCAGAAGACAATGAGGTTCCTATTGCCGTATACCTATTCAAGATGGTCAAAACATTCAAAGTAAAGCCAACGGGCCATCGTAGTCTGAAGGTTTTTACGATCTAGATTAAGTATTACATGTCAGGTTGACTTTCAAGAGCCAGCTGAACACCAACAACGAAATTATATACATTATGAATATAGGAAAATACAATCAAAGGATCAACACGTAAACACATTTAGACAAAAAAAAGCAAAGCTACGATCATTAAATATACTGAAATATTAAAACAAGCAGCACGTATTCGTTGGGTTTCTTTTATCTAATTTATTAAATAACAGAATTACATATGGACTTGTTCTCGCTGATTCAGTCAACTTTAAATATGACAACAACAAAATGCCAATTTTTCCTAAGGTGAAGCAGATTTTTAAAAAGTTTAATTACAAAACATTCCTACAATATTTACAAGAATCATTTTTTTCGATTTTCACCGCGGAACGAATAAGGCAAAAATAAGGTCAATTTTGTGATATTTGTTACATCTCACAGATGTCACGCAAATTCTAAAATTATTAAATATTATAAGCATTAAATAAACGGAGGTTTCTACAAAAGGAAACTTTAATCAAAATATCTTGAAATGTCTTGAAATAAGACATTATAACAAAGCATATCCACTAGTGATTACTTTGAAACTGACAGTTACGGCTTGGTGAACTCCAATGTCATTTTCAGTTATATTTGTATATATGAAATGACAACATATTCATACGAATAAATGAAATGTTGGCAAACTGGGTCATTGCATGTGAACAAAACGTATAGGTTGGTGAAGAAAAGCTTGACCACACCGTGTCCGTTTGAGTCAACATTTCGTGTTAAAAATCTTTAAAGCTCTCTCGGAGAGATATGATGACTGTTTATTTTCAAGGACAGACCAGAACAGAACTTGTATTACGCTCAGGTCGGGGTACTTGGCATAAGAGGTAAAAATACACCAGTTGGCGGGATAGTTTACATGGAAGATTGGACAGTTTTCATGATGGGATTACAGAATATACATAGTTTTTAAAAAACACATATTTGTTGACAGTTCAACAATTCATTAACTTTTAACCCATTGGATTTTTTAACACAATGTCTTGAGATATCTGTCTGCCGATAACGTTTGAAGAAAGGGCAAATATAACTGTAATGAAATTCATCTCCAACATCACACGTGTCGCAGAGGTTACAAAATAACAGATTTTTGAGAAGGGGTGGGTTGCACATTTTATTTTAACCCGACTTCACGAGAGTTTCAATTGTCATTTAAGCTTTCAGGAGAAAAGCCCCCCTCCCGGAACCGTCTTTGTATATGTCAAGGACAAGTGTAGATTTGAATATGCGATAAGTAGCACCACATGCATTCCCTTTAGAAGAATTCGAAAATCTCTGCGCGCCATGTTTAAGTTGCTATATAATGTAACCTTAAGGAGATAATACATGTCAGTTTCATTTCAGTATATAGCCGTTTCATTAACAGCGGCTTCCACAGATTTTATCCATTATTGATTGCTGTTGTTTATACAGGCTTAAATATAACATTTGACATAGATTTCGTGACAGCTTTTGTTCTTTCACGAGTGGAATTCAGCCCAGAAACATACCATACGACATTTGATAGAGTTAATTAGGGGTACCCTTCCAAGTTCTCCACATAATATGTATAATGGAGTGCTTCTCTATACGGGAAGTAATTTGCATATAGAACAGATTTGATTACTTTACCGTTTTCAAAACTCCAGATTTCGAGCCATGTAACAGAACTGGCTTGACCATGGTATCAAAGAGATATATTTGGCATATTTATCGACAGGTTAAAGATTCGACATTTACGGAGGATTAAATAGAACAATTTTAGTCTTTCTGAGGAGGGAATATTTTCAGGTGGAGGGAGATGAGAAACAAACCAGTATTTGAGAACGCCCTCATAATGTTACAAGAGAATTGTGATTTAGATTTAATACGGTAATACTTCGGTATGAGCAGATCATTCACTCGGATGCTGTTGAATTGAACACTGCTGTGACATGTATCGCTGAATTCGGATTACGGCAATAAACAAACTACAAATTCTATTTGTATCAGAGCAAACAGGAAATGTTTTCATTCCCCGTCAAATTATTATCTTGGATGAAGAAAAGATCTGAGGGTCAATTTTAAAATTCAGAATTAAGGTTAGTTTGAGCATTACGTAGAATAGTATTGCAGGTGATTCAAAAACTCAAGGCACTATTTGTACACGCTCGGATACACCTTTCCTTATTTACATTCGCGCAGCAATAGAATAATGTTTTCTGTTTTAAAGTTATTGTATCTACAACGCCAGATCGTGACGCATTGAGTTAGTCTAGAACGACTGTTGTTTTTTAGACGGGTCTGTGCTGAATCGGAACAACAAAACCCTTTTCACATCCGTAGGAAAACACTGTAGAAAGGAAACGGAACGGATTTGAATAGTTGAAGTTTACGACTGTCGCAGGACTGGGTTGTGTTATACAGTGAAAGCTATGACACCAGTTAGCAAAGAATGACAATAATGTACATGCGCCAAACCCGCACCCGATCGCTTCTCAAAGCGTTACATTAGTACCTGTGAACACAACCCAAGCTGCCTGTCAAATGCTAGAAGGTTCCTACCTGGTACCCATTCACCGCTGGGTGAACAGAGGCACATTTCAAACGAGGTCATCCGTCATCGTAGCCCAAATGCTGTTGACCACTGGATTGTCTGGTACAGACTCGATTACTTACTGACCGCCGCAATATTGTTGAGTGCGGCGTAAAACTAAACTCTCTCACTCACTCACAAACGAGGTCACTTGCGTGAGGTGACACGGTATGTGCTACAGATGTTTCAGGGTAGGACATGCTCGAACACCTAGACATCCTCTGTCATGAGTCATGGCCATTTATTTAATCATAGATAAACATCCATTTGAAAATTTTAGATATTGACTGAGTGAGTATGGTTTTACTCCGCTTTTAGCAATATTCCAGCAATATCACGATGGGGGCACCAGAAATGGCCTTATACATTGCACCCATTTGGGGAATCGAACCCGGGCCATTGACGTGGCGAGCGAACGCTTCAACCACTGGGCTACCCCATTTCCCCGAAATTTTGAAATAGGACATTTTAGCAAAGAATAAGCTTCCTTACAGGCAGCAATTGTGTTTCCCTCCCTGACGCTGTGCCTCTTTACGAATAGGAGCTGGAATTTCTTCTGACAAAATAAGGGAGGGGGAGAATTTAACTTATAAGCTTAGGATGGATAACCTTGTTAATCCGATAACGTGTTGTTTAGTCCTCTAAAACCTTCCTTCCTTCAGCCAGCAGTGACCCGTTACCATGGTGATCGCCACCCTCATCTGTTGCTGTCTCCGTGAAATGGCGAGGGAGGAAGAGAGGGAGAGGAGGCAGCGAGCTGTTGTAGTGGTGCGAGAGCAACGGATTGTAGGTGGCACCGTTTAGATATGAATCGTCTTAATCACAAAACCATATTTATTCCATTCACTGTAAGGTCTTTGCAAAGCATACATCTGAACAATTGGTTGAATATATATTAAATAATATAAATATCATTTTTATGGATATGCATTTATATGATGCAATTTAGTTAATATATGTTTTACAAACACCTTACAGTGATTAGAACATATGTGTGTGCGTGCGTGTGTGCGTGCGTGCATGCGTGCGTGTGTGTGTCAGCGACATGTTACACCTCAACCTATGGAAATTTTACATATTTTGCTAACAATCTTTCTGTAATTACATTGGAGACATGTTGTATTTGTGAAGTGTTAAGACTCCAAAACCGAAGAGGTTGCCAATAGTTCTACACTAATCAGAGGAGGCAAGCCAATAGATTGTTATGACCAGTTTATGATCAAACTCAGGAGGATCCATCACATATACATTCTGTTGGAAAACATTATTGTAGTTCTTCGCAAGAAAACTTTTTTTTTCTCTTGCCATGCGAAAATTTTCCATCCAGAATTTATCAGACAATGTGTCATTTTGACAATTTCGTTCAACCAGTGCCGAAAATATTCTGTCCCCTATATACATCTTTCCTAATCCCAAGACTAATCTGACCCGTGAAGATCCGGGTTAGAATTGATCTTCAGTAACCCATGCTTGTCGTAAGAGGCGACTAACGGGATCGGGTGGTCAGACTCGCTGACTAGGTTGACACATATCATCGTATCCCAATTGCGTAGATCGATACTCATGATGTGATCACTGGATTGTCTGGTCCAGACTCGATTATTTACAGACCTCCGCCATATAGCAGTAATATTGCTGAGTGCGGCGTAAAACTAAGCTCATTCACTGTTGCCATTTGAACATACCAATCCCTGTTTCAGGATCGAGCTGGCTTGGTCCAACATGAGGTGATGCCTGACAGATCCTACCCTGGGCGAGCAATGGCCGCAAGACCTCCCCCAGGCAACCGGATCCCTCCACGATCCATGCCACCACCTTACACACCAAACCAGTTCCGACCCCCACCCGGTGCCCAAGGCATGCCGCCCCCTTACACTGCAAACTCGACCCAACCCCCAGCCGGTGCACGACACCCTCAGTACCCGATGCGTGAACCACAGAACCAAGCGATGAGGCTCTGAAGAAGGAATAGCCATTTAACATGGTCTCGTGTGTTCAGTAACGTTTCTTCTGGACTGACTTTTCCATGACAGAGTACGACTTTCTATTTGTCAAATTGGGGTTCCTGTGGAGACAACCGGGACCAACAGTTACACGTTTTTCACTTCGCTGAGGGTTACCTGATTTTGCCACCATAGTAATAATCATAGTTATAGTGCATAGAAAGGGACAGCCAGGTGTTCGAGAACTGATGGAGACGGCACAGCACAGGTTAATGAATAAATAACTTTGGCTGTGAACGTGCTTCTCGAACACCTGGCTGTCCCTTTCTCTGCACTCCTCCCTCGTAACAAACAGTGACCTGTGTCAATATTTTAATGATAGTTTGTTAAACAACTTTTTAATTTTAGGACAGAAATTCTGCAAAAACCTCACAGAGTGGGTATGATGTTTTGATTATGATCAGCGTTTCATTGAGTATGTTATGTTTATTAGTTTTCGAGTTAGATTGCAATTCATCGGTCCGCTTTTGAGCCAAACGGACTGTTTTTTGTAGTGCCTCAGATGTTAAAGATCCTGGCAATTCGCGCGTATAGGTTAGGAAGTCCATGGCAAACACAACCAGTCAGAATGGATATCAGCAACAGATATGCGTCAAAGTATCGTCTTTCAACAAGACCCCTCGTTTCTACTGCACCGGTATATTCAGAATAACCTATAACACCAAGTATTGGGTTCTATAAAGAACAAATTGCTTCTACAAACAATCTGTGTTATTTATAGACTGTGATAAATCAGTTCTTGTATTATCAACCCGTTTTCCTCTGTTTTTTATAGACCGTGATAAATCACTTATTATATTATCATCCCGTTTTGCTCTGTTTTTAAAGATCGTGATAAATCAGTTCTTGTATTATCATCCCCGTTTTCCTCTGCGTTTTTTTCTAAATCAGTTCTCATATTATCTTCGCCGTTTTTCTCTGCCGACTTCCACCCTTCATTCAATGTTATTGTCCTCACGTAAAGACAGGAAGATCTAGTTTGATCTTCAGCAACCCATGCTTGTCGTAAGCGCTCTCTAACGGGATCGGGTGGTCAGGCTCCCCGACTTGCCTGATGCTCATGATGTTGATCACTGGATTGTCTGGTCCAGACTCAATTATTTACAGACCGCCGCCATATAGCTGGAATATTGCTGAGTGCGGCGTTAAACAACAAACAAACAAAATGTCGCTACAGAGACAAAAAACATTTCTGCGGGTGTTGCCATCCCAATTCTCCACTTGAATATACATTTATGTGAATCACATCTGCATCAAAATATACCTTAAGCATTGGATTAGTATGATTTATATAAATAATGATAAATAGATAATGATGAAAGTCCAATAATAGATTTATTGTGGCCCTTTATTACCCTTCTATTGTTGTACATCTAACATATAACAGGGGCGGATACAGCTTTTTGAGAAAGGGGGGGTGCACACTATTGAGAAAAGGGAGGGTGCACACTTCATTTTCACCCGAGTTTCAATGGTCATTTAATATACTTTCAGAACAAAAGGGGGGATGCGCACCCCTGCACCCCCCCTCTGGATCCGCCTATGTATAACCTATATTATCACGCACGTCTCTGTTACATAACAGCTGGGAGTTCGTCGAAGCCACGTTGCAAGCTTGACAGCCTTAGACCACAAGCTAATCAGTGCCGAGGTCACACACGACGTAGCCCATGCTGTATCAATATCTATGTGACATTCTAGCAATAAACTATATTTATTCCCAACTGAAACTTTTTTTTTTTCATTGTTATCATGTTTCCAACCTACAAACATGTAATATTTTTCATGTATGTATTTAATACAGGCTTTTTAAATCATTCCCTGATTTATTCATCTTTCTGATAATGTTTTAATTGTTATTCATATAGTCCCCGCTGGTCTTTAGTTGTTTAAGGTATAAGAAAATATATTTGTTTTCCGAGCATGTTCTTTCACTAAATCGGCTATGTGCCTGTGAGCAGCTTAACAGATGTCAATAACTGTCAGGATACGCCCACAAGAGCAATATTTGAACACAAGCAGCAGAAGCAAGGATAAAATGGCTGCACGGGAGTGATATTTCCTGATTTAAATTTTCCCCAATCTTCCGTCCCTAACAAGGAAATAATGCGTTCATTACACGGCACATGGGCTTTTATTGCCAGCTGACGACGACAGGTATAGGTAGGCCTGACAGTCTACCTGCAGTTTACTTCAGCAATTAACACCTCCCTAACGCGATCATGAGAAATAAGCCCTTCTGAATGTCAGTCAATACCGTCGCTAGGCAACGGAGGCCATTTCTAAACATTGCCTACTGGGTATAGTTATCGACCGCGACCAGAAGACAATTGCACTGACAATACGGATTACCTACGTTGTGACCTTGTGACGCGGTAGGGGTGTACCATGCATGTTTAAACACAACGAAAACAAAAATGGCGTAAGATGTGATTCGGGGGACAGCCGAGGAGGAAAATGACAGTGGAAGGTTCGATTCGAGGGATGTTGACTTCGTGCGGAGTGCTTGTATTAGCGGCAGGGCTGACGTCGTCGCTATCAGTTGGTAATGTCAGAAACTGTATTATTTGTTCACAAGTGTTTGTGTCGTCCAGTTATATGATCTTTCTGTGACATATGCCGAACCCCTTATTCTTGTCCCCGTGTCATAGAAAGAGCTAGCGTGTATCCTGTAGAAAATCAATAGTCGTTGAGACGATCCCCTTACTGTAAGACATTTATTGACAATGCACTTTCCCTATCTTTATAGATTGAGATTGTACAGTTTACACCGTCTGTGAAGACGTGGTGGTGTTGATATAGGGGATGGTTTTGTGTGCCGTGCCTGTTAACGCATGTTTAATGATCTAGTCTCATTTCCACCCTGCTGACCTGCACATGACATGGGGCCGACCTAAAATTGGCAAACAGCCAACACCGAGGAGCCTCCCAGCCCTGACTTGACATGGATGTTTACAACATGGCGGTTTGGGAGGGAAGGCTTGTTGCTCGACCCTAACTTGACGTTTACAAGATGTATATTGGAGGAGAGGTGGTGGTTAAACTCTCAGCTCGGTCATTGTGACATGGGCGTTTATATTATGTTGTTTAAGCTGGGGAGTCCCTCTCGGTTGGATTGGTATGTGGTACATATATTACCACGCATAATATGGCATTAATAGTCAGTCCTTGTCGATATATTACCACGCATAATATAGCATTAATAGTCAGTACTTGTCGATATATTACCACACAATATCAGTCCGTTACGCATGTATTCTACACATTACACCGGGTGTCATTTTGCGTGTCTCTTCCTCTTATGCTTTCCAAACAGGGTAGGTGGGGTGGCCTAGTGGTTAAAGCGTTCGCTCGTCACGCTGAAGACCAGGGTTCGATTTCCCCCCATTGGTATAATGTGCGAAGCCCATTTCTGGTGTCCCCCGTCGTGATATTGCTGGAATATTGCTAAAAGGGGCGTAAAACTCACTCCCTCACTCATTTTCCAAACAAAACATTGGGTGTCAGTCTACGTGAAATATGTTACCGGTGTAAGTGTCTGACTCACGTAGTTCTTGTGACATGTCTAGCATCAAACACAACATCTCGTGTCAATACATATGTATCACGTGGTAGATGCCCTCAATAGATAGCATTATGGTAGATATCCCCATATGGTAGATGTCCTCATGTGGTACAATAGATAGCATGATATGTTAGATATCCCCATATGGTAGATGTCCTCGTGTGATACAATGGATAGCATGATATGGTAGATATCCCCATATGGTAGATATCCTCATGTGGTACAATAGATAGCATGATATGGTACATATCCCCATATGGTAGATTTCCTCGTGGTACGATAGATAGCATGATATGGTAGATATCCCCATATGGTAGATGCCCTCATGTGGTACAGTAGATAGAATGATACGGTAGATATTCCCATATGGTAGATGTCCTCATGTGGTACAATAGATAGCATGATATGGTAGATATCCCCATATGGTAGATGCCCTCATGTGGTACAGTAGATAGAATGATACGGTAGATATTCCCATATGGTAGATGTCCTCATGTGGTACAATAGATAGCATGATATGGTAGATATCCCCATATGGTAGATGTCCTCGTGTGGTACAATAGATAGCATGATATGGTACATATCCCCATATGGTAGATGTCCTCGTGTGGTACAATAGATAGCATTATGGTAGATATCCCCATATGGTAGATGTCCTCGTGTGGTACAATAGATAGCATGATATGGTAGATACGCCCACGACATTCATTATTATACGACCTGAAACACTCACTCGCCCACTTCCAGTATATAAACTCACTGTCTGTATGTTCGTGTTCACCGTCTACGCTGGATATATCAGATTTAACGATTCCTTGGGGAGCGAACACACTGACAGAAGTACCGGCGAAACGCCACGGCGTGGTAACATCACCTAACGGCATGTCATTCAGCTTTATACGACACCAAGCCATGGGCTAGCTTGCTTGGTAAACCTGTCCCTTTCCATTCTTTGCAGTAGAATGTAGATTAACCTTTCTGCTTCCAGACAGGAATAGAGTTATCGTTTTCTACAAAAAAAGGAATAATCCAAAAGGAGCCCATGGCATTTCTGAAACTGGGTTATATCAAGACTTGCCCAGCCATCCTACTGTTTTTTGCAGTTGTCATATTATCATCCCCGTTTTCCTCTGCCAACTCCCAGGCAGTGGGGTAGCCTAATCGATAATGCTTTCGCTCGTCACGACAAAGGCCCGGGTTCGATTCCCCACATGGGTACATTGTGTGAAGCCCATTTCCGGTGTCCCCCGCCGTGATATTGCTGGAATATTGCTAAAAGCGGCTTAAACTAAAAATCACTCACTCACTCTGCCGACTTCCAGCCCCCATTCAATGTTTTTGTCCTCACGTTAAGACAGAGTCTGTCAACAATCCCACTTAGGGCATTGGACGCCGCAAATCCCTCTTGAGCCACGGGACGACAGTCGTCTAAGACTGTGCAAAAACTCAAAAGTCAATAATCGTGGGTTCGAATCCCGGTCCGCCACATCTATGCTTGTAAGTTTGTCGATACCTTATTTCACCAAAGTGTTAAACGCCCGTGACCTGAATCACTTCACACTTCCTCCTCCATACACCTGACACTGGAATACTTCATATAGCTGCAGTCAGTGACTGAGTTTAGTTTTACGCCGCACTCAGCAATATTCCAGCTATATGGCGGCGGTCTGTAAATAATCGAGTCTGGACCAGACAATCCAGTGATCAACAGCATGAGCATCGTTCTACGCAATTTGGATACGATGACATGTGTCAACCAAGTCAGCGAGCCTGACCACCTGATCCCGTTAGTCGCCTCTTACGACAAGCATTGGTTACTGAAGACCAATTCTAACCCGGATCCCATATAGCTACATGCTTGTATGTAAATGGAATACTGTTAAACTCCAACTCACTCACACAGTCTATATGTTGCCATGTCGCCCTCTACACCGAGTTCATGTAGACCATTCACCTTCTACACATTGTCCATATAACCTCATCTGCCCTGAATTATCGATGTCATAATGTTATTGCAAGAGTGAGTGAGTATGGTTTTACGCCACGTCATGAGGGGGACACCGGAAATGGGCTTTACACATTACACCTATGTGTGGAATTGAACTCTGGTCTTCGGTGTGATAAGCGAACATTTTAACCCCACCAATCTCCTGCCAGAGGAAAGGACCACCTTATCACCCTTATGCTACCAGTGTTGCATTTGTGACCGTGTGGAAAAAGACAACTTGAGTTGACTACCTCACGGACCGACCGTCACTGCAAGATAATACATCCTGTCTGTTTCATGAATTCATTTTGTTTTTCTTTCCAGATTATTTTCCTGCAAAATGCAACAGCAGCGTCACTGTCGTGACCAGTCACCAACTGGAGAGCAGCGTCGGCCTGCACTACGCCAATGACGTCTCTTGTACATACACCGTCACAGTCGCAGCTAACAAGAGGGTTCTCGCAAAATTTCAAAGATTTGACTTTGAGAAAAAACATAATGGCTCATGTACAGATTATGTAAATTTGTATGACGGAAGTGACGTCAGTCAAACCAGACTGAATGCGAACCCTCTTTGTGGCACTATTTTACCCAGCAATGCTATGTCAAGCGGTAATTCAATCACGGTGTCTTTCGTCACGGACAGTACCGGAATTGGACGAGGATTCGCCTTGTTGTTCACGGCGGTGTATAATGGTAGGTTTAAATTATATCTTTTACTAGAAAACAGTTTGCTTCAACAGTAAAGAAATACCAAAAATGAACGCCAGAAATTACTTAAATGTTTCCGTTCTGAGAGTAATTGTTGGCCATTCGTGTTTTCTCACACAGGAACATGTGTATTCGGGGACTTCTCCTGCAACAACTCGCTCTGTATCGACAGTGACCTTCAGTGTAATGGCCTTGACCAATGTGGAGATAACTCCGATGAAGCAGCATGCACGGGTAAGCTTTTAAGGCCTTCACATTGTGTGAATTTTGCGAAGTGTAGCAGAATATTGTTCTTGCCACAAACCTAGAACGAAGTAGGTACGACCCAATGTGAGAACAATGACAGACTCTTAGTCTGTGAAGATCAGTTCTTGAACTGGTCCGTAGCCATAAGAGGTGACTAACTGCCGAGATTTGATCGAAGGTGCCATTGCACAAAGCCGTCTTAGCGCGAAAGTGATAGTAATTCCCACCCCTTAACATAGACTTACGACAATCGAAGTGCTAAAACTCGAGCAGATCCAGGTTAGAACTGGTCTTCCGCAATTCAAGCTTGTCTTAAGAGGCGACTAACGGGATCGGGTGGTCAGGTGGTCAGTTTCGCTGAGCTGGTTGACACTTGTCGTATCCCATTTGCATGCGTAGATCGATGATCATGCAGTTGGTCACTGGATTGTCTGGCCCTGACTCGATTATTTACAGACCGCCGCAGTATAGCTGGAATATTGCTGAGCGAGGCGTTAAACAACAAGAAAATCCTTTTAAAAGGCATCGTTGGAGGCACTTGAGTAAATTAAGGTATTTAGTGAGAAGGACGCGAGATGATTTTGGGGGTGAAGCTGATTTCAAGAGTATCACGATGACCACACCTCCGTCTGTTAGAGATTTGCTTCTATCAGAGATCGGTTCTCTCATTTCCAGTATAGGACGTCTTCGCCATGTCTAAAAATGAAGTACTAGTGACGGACGGAGGAAACATGGTCCGATATAGTGCCACTGCCGGGCCAGGGTCTATAAGCGCGCGATGGTTAGCACAGTGATTAATAAGATGGTATAACATGTACGCTCGCGGTACTGTTACTGAATTATATTGAATAGAAAGTGTTTATTAACGTTTTTGATCGGTAAAAACACAGAATGTTTTCAGATTAGAGATTTATAGAAAACTCTATTTCCGCATTAAAGCGGGACAATTATTTCGGATTACCCAGATGGTCACATGGCTCCTAATTTGCTGCAGCTATGTTCATTGGTCATTTGGAATTGCCAGAATACAAAGAGACTAAATACCATTGGCTGAAAGTTCATTTTGAATATTCCAAGTGTATATATAGAGAGACATTTCAGACAAATTCAGCCTGATTAAGAGGTTGGATGCGCAAACGTAATATACAAAACCATGCGCTAAATTTTGTTTTGTACAACGGCACCCAGACTTATTATTTACAGGTCGGCGTCTTATAGGTTATGTATTCCTGAGTGCAGCCTTAAATACCAGTTACACACCACATCACTCCACAAAACCCTACCCCACAACCTCACATTTCGTCAATCCCCCATGCTCCTGTGCGCCATTTTCCAATTTACCTCACATAGACTATATCCTCCCCAGGCTATCGACAACCCATTATACCAAATCACCTGTGTGGATCTATAATTCATGTAAACTAGACCTGTTCTTTGTAGTCGCAGTGCCGGAGATAATTGCACAATCATTGATTAGCCTGGTGCTGATGTATACCTGTCTGTGTGTACCCTCTGAGAGACACAGGATGTTATATATGTGTCACAAACACTAACCCGGATAAATCACAGGCAATTAAATACGGTTCTCACAAAATGCAAACATACATCATGAACACCAATAATAAATAAGACAGGTATATATATTTACAAGTGCAAGGCAAACACACGTATTCAACGGCGTTATTGGTACAAGTATGTAATGAGTATTGTTTTACGCCGCTTTTAGCACTATTACGACGGAGGTCACCAGAAATGGGCGACACATTGGACCCATTTGAAGAATCGAACTCGAGTCTTGATCATTTTGCAGGAAGAGTGTAGACGTTGATCAAGAGCTCTTGCGACAAACTGGCGATTCCCGTAATAGTCACAATTTGACTTTAGATTTGTGACAGCTAATGAAAAAACAGAGAGAATTCTTTACATCACAGTTATAATCAGTTGCTATATGTGTCGCGTGGTGTTTTGTGATGAGGACAGTTTCACGCCTGTGTTAGCAATAGGGCCTGTAAGTCTCGCGAGGCGCTACTTCCGGTACTAAGCTGGTTCCCAGCTCCCTTTGCGCGCGCTAACATGCGATATGCGAGACGAGGCCCAGCCTACTTCCGGTACCGGGTTTCCGGTGACACGGATACATTCAAGAACCAATTCTGGTTCCAAATCACGCGACCGCCAATATGACTTTACTAGACCGGACCAAGTGTACAACCATGCTTGACTCTCACAGCTGTTGGCAGTCGTATTAGTTGGTTAATTTGGGGATGGATAGATCGGAAATGTGTTATTTCTGCAAGGATTATCGATTCCTTACTGTCAACTCACAACCATGAGACCTTTAGAAAAGGTATGAAACGTTGTTTGTCACCGGAAGTACTAAGGTCTCGCGTGACCTACTTACGGCCCCTGTATACCAGCAACAGCTCAGCGAGGGTCACCAGAAACATTCAAACGTTGTACCCATATCCGGAATCGAACTCGGAATTGTGGTGGGATCCGTTATCCACTAGACTACCCCATGCGTGTTGTAATGTGTAACTGTGTATTTGCTTCAGCCGAAGACCTGCTGCTGAGGTACGGAAAGGACCACGCCCCATTGATAGCCGGCGTTGTTCTCGGGGTGCTAGCCTTCACTGTGATCGGCGTTCTGGTAGGCATGTACATCTACAAACGCAACAAATGGAGACGCTTTCTCAGTGACAATGATGCCGAGGATGAAAGCATTTGGGAAATCGAGTCTGCCTACCCCGTTACCCAGAAGTACTTCAAAGGCAACCGAGGAAGACCAAATTACAATACCTTGCAAGAGTACGCAGAAACTGATCACGTCACAGCAGAAACTCATGACATCAGTCCACGAGGCACTAGTGATGTCAGTGATGCTTCAACTTCCAAACTGACATCGACTGCTTGATACTATATACCAGCATCGAAGTTTACCCTGGGGCCCGAACCACAAAGCGTTCGTAGCGATACGAACATCGTACAACATCTTACGAATACTGTCCGCTACGAACGCTTTGTGGATCGGGCCCCTGTTTTTTTATGGGTGGTGGTCATGTTTATGTAATGTTTACGATGGCATTTAACTCAAAACCTGGACATTCCGAACTCTCTGCATTCCGGACATGTGTAATCTAAACGAAGGAAATTGTCCGATTAAACGAGATTCTTCTTATATATGTCGTTTTGATAGCATCAGTTCATTTGTCGTCATTAAGGCCTCGGTCACATTAGTTGGTACTGCATACAGACTGTTCTGAAATGGAGCTTAAACAATGAATCAAAAGTACTTCGCATATTGAAACCTTGTGAACACGTATAGATACAGAACCGCCGAATTGTTAATCAAAAAACAATTTGAACTGTCCATTCTGAACTCGGTGTCTGGAAAACCCGTTGGGAACGTTTTCATGTTCACATAAGCCATCTCGGATTATTTCTTTTTTCTCAATCGATTATGATAATAGACTTGAGAAAATAAAAATGGATAATCGAAGGTAGGATTCTTCATCTGGACAACTGTTAATCCATGCGAGTTTACCGTTGGAAGTACTCTCCGGATTAACTGGCTTTTACTGTGTATTCAACATACTTTCCTCAAGACTGAGGTTCGTTAAATGACCCGATGTCACAATCATTACGAAAGCTGCTGCTACCTATAACATCTATTTTAACAAAAACTTGCATTAATCAAAATATTGTTGTCTTTTTATTCAATACCAGGTGATGGATGCAATTTAAGTTGTGCTTGCATGTTGCGAGTGGTTAAAGTTTATCATATGCTATTTGCTTACTCATGTGTTCATTCGTATGAATCTGTGGTCTATGAGAACGGAAAATCAAGCAAACAGATTGTCGTTTATGTGTAATTTGAATGTGTCATCTAATTCCTTTACAATTATATATTTTGTTTATATGTTGTTTCGCTGGCGAAACTAAACCAGTTAGCATTATTTGTTTGACCAATTATCTTGATCTATGTTTATTCTCTTATAGGACGTGTACAATGCCCATGGTTTATTTGCGAAAATAAATGACTTGTATAAACACTGCTGACTTGTTTTAAACTGTGTTGACTGGCTGATCGTGTGTTTACAAGCTGATCCTTGTAGTTAATGCGTTGACTGGCTGATAGTGTGTTGGTTAGTTGATCGTGTACAGTCAATGCGTTGACTGACGGATGCTGTATTGACAGTGTGTTGACTAGATGTTATGAATGTGTTAACAGTGACTGGCCGATGGTGTGTAGATGGATCGTGTGTTGACTTGCTAAGCACATGTTTACCGATGTTGTGTAGAGAATGTGTTGACTGGCCGATAGTGTGTTGATAGATCATGTGTTCACTGGATGATCACGTGTTGACTGGTCGTGTGTATATATTCCGCTGGCTGGTTGGTCGTGTGTTGAGAATGTTTTGACTTCTCGTGTGTATATATTCCGCTGGCTGGTTGGTCGTGTGTTCACAATGTGTTGACTGGTCGTGTGTATATATTCCGCTGGCTGGTTGGTCGTGTGTTGACAATGTGTTGACTGGTCGTGTGTTGACAATGTGTTGACTGGTCGTGTGTATATATTCCGCTGGCTGGTAGGTCGTGTGTTCACAATGTGTTGAATGGTCATGTGTATATATTCCGCTGGCTGGTCGGTCGTGTGTTCACAATGTGTTGACTTGACGTGTGTATATATTCCGCTGGCTGGTTGGTCGTGTGTTGACAATGTGTTGACTGGTCGTGTGTATATATTCCGCTGGCTAATTGGTCGTGTGTTCACAATGTGTTGACTTCTCGTGTGTATATATTCCGCTGGCTGGTTGGTCGTGTGTTGACTTGACGTGTGTATATATTCCGCTGGCTGGTTGGTGTGTTTAGACTGGACGTGTGTATATATTCCGCTGGCTGGTCGGTCGTGTGTTCACAATGTGTTGACTGGACGTGTGTATATATTCCGCTGGCTGGTTGGTCGTGTGTTGACAATGTGTTGACTGGTCGTGTGTATATATTCCGCTGGCTAATTGGTCGTGTGTTGACTTGACGTGTGTATATATTCCGCTGACTGGTTGGTCGTGTGTTGACAATGTGTTGACTGGTCGTGTGTATATATTCCGCTGGCTAATTGGTCGTGTGTTCACAATGTGTTGACTTCTCGTGTGTATATATTCCGCTGGCTGGTTGGTCGTGTGTTGACTTGACGTGTGTATATATTCCGCTGGCTGGTTGGTCGTGTGTTGACTTCTCGTGTGTATATATTCCGCTGGCTGGTTGGTCGTGTTTAGACTGGACGTGTGTATATATTCCGCTGGCTGGTTGGTCGTGTGTTCACAATGTGTTGACTGGACGTGTGTATATATTCCGCTGGCTGGTAGGTCGTGTGTTCACAATGTGTTGACTTGACGTGTGTATATATTCCGCTGGCTGGTCGGTCGTGTGTTGACAATGTGTTGATTGGACGTGTGTATATATTCCGCTGGCTGGTCGGTCATGTGTTGACAATGTGTTGACTGGTCGTGTGTATATATTCCGCTGGCTGGTCGGTCGTGTGTTTACAATGTGTTGACTGCACTTGTGTATATATTCCGCTGGCTAATTGGTCGTGTGTTGAGAATGTGTTGACTGGTCATGTGTTTATATTCCGCTGGCTGGTTGGTCGTGTGTTTACAATGTGTTGACTTCTCGTGTGTATATATTCCGCTGGTTGGTTGGTAGTGTGTATATATATTCCGCTGGCTGGTTGGCCGTATGTTGACTGGCAGATCTGATCGTATCTTGGCAATCTGTTCACATGATTATGTGTTGACATGTTGATAATATGCTGACTGGCCGATCTTGTGTAGACACGTGTATACGTTAGCTAGGTAATGGTTCGTTTTCAGTACGTTTATTGGCTGATATGTTCTTGACTGGCTGAGAGCGGTGGGGTAGCCTAGTGGTTAAAGCGTTCGCTCGTGACGCACATGGGCAAAAGGTGTGAGGCCCATTTCTGGTGTCCCCCACCGTGATATTGCTGGAATATTGCTAAAAGCGGCGCAAAACCATACTCACTCACTGGCTGAACCTGTGTTGATCAACTGATCGCGTGCTGACAGGTAGATCACGTGTGGGTAAAGTGTGGGCAATGTGTGGCCTGAACGAGCTTATGTTAAGAATGTTTTGTCTGGAGATTGCATACTACTATTTGCTAATTGTTAGGATATTAGTGATATCGCATCACCAGTGAAATAACCTTCAAATGCAATAAAACATAAAACATCAAGGTTAATAGACCCGAGTTGTGAAGCTGATGAGATATGAACTGAATAAAGGCATTAATTGCTACATGATAAGAAACGTGACCCAGCTGCTTTAAACACTTAGAGATCACGATAAATGAAGTGTCATCAATCAAGTTGGTTGGTTTGTTGTTTAACGCCCCACTCAGCAATATTCCAGCTATATGGTGTCAGTCTGTAAATAATCCAATCTGGACAAGACAACCAGTGATCAACAGCATGAACATCGATCAACGCAATTGGGATACGATGACATGTCTCAACCCAGTCAGCGAATCTCACGACCCGATCCCATTAGTCGCCTCTTACGACAAACATGGGTTACTGAAGATCAATTCTAACCCGGATCTTCACGGGAAGATCAGGTTGAAAGTGAATATTGAAGCAAAGCGGTGGTATGACTAAAGTGAGATTTGAATAAAGTTTAATAAAGTATTCAAAGGCCCAAAGTTCGTGAGTTTGGTTTTACGTCGCTTTTAGCAATATTCCAGCAATATCAAGGCGGGGGATACCAGAAATGGGCTTTACACATTACACCTATATGGGGGAATCGAACCCGACATTCAGCGTGACGAGCGAACGCTTAAACTACAAGACCACCTCGCCGCCGCTCAAAGGCCCAGAGATTATTAGAAGCGTTATGTTACTACAGTAACAAACACAGACAACGTGTAATGATACACGAGACAATGGTTACGAAGGTTGAAAATTTACACGAATCCACGAGGACTCCTAACGCGATGAAGCCACGGGTCTGACCTAATTGAAAACATTAATTGCATACATTATTCATAGTTTGTATATGTTTGTGAAGTTATATGTATAACTTGAGATTCACCATGGGAAAAGTCACGGAATACTGACTGGCTGTATGCGGAAATTCAATCCAATGTTCCAGTTGTGTTATGAAGCTTATATGTTTTGCATAGGGTAACCTTTCACCATACTGATCAGGCCTATATGATATAATCCTTCCTTTTATTGTTATTAGTTGGGGTTCTTTTTTGTTTTTATGTTTGTTGGTTTTGTTTAATGGTTTGCATGTTTTTCTTGTTGTTTTTTGGGTTGTTTTGTTGTTTTTTGGTTTGATTTATTTTTCTTTTCTGTTTTTTTCTTTTTTTTTTTTTTGGGGGTGTTTGGGTGGTGGTGGTGGACAGAGAGAGAGAGGCGTGTGTGCCTGCGTGTGTGTGTGTGCTTGGGGCTTGTTTGTTTTTTGAGAGGGGAAATGGTACCCTTCCATTCAATTAGTCTGAATATCACTTGTAATGTTGTAATTTCATATATATCATGAATGTATACCCTTATTTAAAGTAGCACATCATCACGTTTACGATACAGATTTTATTATATTTGAAACTATCCTGCCTCATTGTCAGTAGGGAAGGCCAGTTATTTAATAAAATGCTACGGTGGCTCGTAAACAAACCAGACAATCAAATGATTGATGAGCAAGAAAATCAGCTGACAAAATAGTGCATTCATTTTATATATTTGTCTATAGACGTGTGTAATTTCACCTTTTAACAATTAAACAATTGTTAACATTGTAACATGCAGTTACAATGTATCCGCCTTATATGAGGTCTGAGCTGTATAACACCACATCGATAAATGCCCCTGCGTGTGGTGAAACCCAGGGCTTCAATTCAGCAGCAGAAACATCGATCCAGCTCAAGTAAATGCCAAACGTCACACCTGGCTGAATAAAGTCACAGTCAGCTATACACATTTGCTTCGTCCTTTAAAATATCTGTTACATGAGGGGGCGGTTGGATGGACTTATAATTAAGCGTCCGCTCGTTATGCCGAAGCCCCGGTTCGATTCCCCACATGTGTACAATGTGCGAAGCCAATTTCTGGTGTCCGCCACCTTGATATTGCTGGATTATTGCTAAAGGAGGCGTAAAACCATACTCACTCACTCACTGTTATATGAGAGTACTTAGTATTCGCCGTCAAATTCGAATCCTGGTTCGCCTTATGTTTCTTGGTTTTGTCAGCAACTCCTACAATAACCGGGGGTGGTGGGGAAGCCTAGTGGTTAAAGTGTTCGCTCGTCACACCGAAGGCCCGGGTTTGATTACCCACATGTGTACAATGTGTGAAGCCCATTTATGGTGTCCTCGTCTTGATATTGCTGGAATATTGATAAATGCGGCGTAAAACTAAACTCACTCGCACCTACAATAACCACTAAGAAGGTTTGATTGTGATTTGTGAAAACCATTGATCTCAATACATACTATATGTCATAATTGACATACCTTTCCACCCCACAAATGCACATGAAAACATCGACAGATCGATAATCTACGCATCGCAATGGCTCTTTTTTTTTTTGTTGTTGTTGTTGTTTTGCCTTATTCATCAGCTTCTTTGTTCAGGATATATGTAGGCCATCAGCCCATACAGATTTAGTTACAATGTTGCTAACTAGCAGTCTTTGAATTACTCATTAACACTGTTGTTTCTTAATTGCAATGTACAACGATACACACATTGCCAAATATATATACTGTTCAATCTTATCATGAAAAGCTAGTAAATTACACTTCTGAGAAGTTGAATGCTCAGTTCAACACACAACACACAACACACACACAAAAAACACACACACACACAACACACACAGTGAGTGTTGTTAGTGAGTATAGTTAAGGAAACCACTGGTGGTATTCCTTTCTCTTTTTTAAAAAATAATTGTTATCCCAGAATCATATACAGTCATATTGAAATGATACTTGCAACCCATAACACAAACACAGAAATATATATACTCAGCA